AAATAATTCATATACGCATAGAAATTGATAGCTGTTAAAACTAAAATGACAGCTGGTAACCTCACATAGTTAATAAATAAAGTGAAGAATTGCATGTTTTTACATTAAGAAGCAAAATTTGGCCTGAAAAAAGTTAGTTTTAGTAGAGTTAAACACAAAATTAAATTGACAACTAAAAACACACTCAGGAAAATAATAATATTAAAAGTAATCTTCTCAGAAGAAAACTTAAAAATGACAAAACTTGAAATGGATAAAAATCAACTTTTTGATTTAATTTAATTGCATATAAATGAATTCATCCAATGGAAATTTTTCAGAAAAATAAAATGGAACAATTTATAAATTATTTCTTTCAGATGGAAAATTCTTCAGTGAACCCAACTGTCTTCGTGTAATTCATGTCAGAAAATAGAGTCTTAATGAAAACTCAGTAATGCTGGCATAACTTTGGTGTAGGTTTATATTAAAAAATACAGAGATAAGAGAAACAAAGTGAAAGTGTCATCTTGCACCTGGTTTTCTTTGGAACTTTTCTCCTTGATCAAGTGAAAACTTTAATAATCTTGAGGAACTAATATTTAGGATTTTCTTTCAATTAAGAGTTTAAAGGCTTTTTATTTTGAAATAATTTTAGACTTACAGGAAATTGCAAAGATGGTAAAGTTTCCATGAACCTGTCATTAAAATTCTTCTAACAACTTACATAATAATATAATATAATATAATATAATAATCAAAACCTGGGAATTCAACAGTGGTACAATAATATTAAGTAAACTAGAGGCCTTATTCAAATTTTTTGGTTGTTGTTTATTTGTTTGTTTTATGTTTCCTAACATCCTCTGTTTGTCCCAGGCTTCAGATCAGGGTAACATATTATATTGAGCTGTTCTGTCCCTTTATTCTCCTCCAAACTGTGACAGTCTCTCATTCTTCCTTTTTTTTTAAATTTAAATTGAATTAGCCAACATACAGTACATTAGTAGTTTTGATATAATGTTCAATGATTTATTAGTAGCATATAACACCCAGTGTTCATCATATCCTTCACTCCTCCTTTGTTTACATGATCTTAGCACTTCGGGTGAATACTGGTCAGTTGTTTGGTAGAATGTCTCTTAATTTGGGTTTGCCTGATGTTTTCTCATAATTGAATTGTGGTCTGCTTTTTTGGTGCAGATACTAGAGAGATGATGTTGTTTGTCTTTACTGTAGGCTCACAACGCGTATATGCCTTGTTACTAGTGATGTTAACCTTGATCACTTGTTTAAAATGGTGTATGCTGGATTTCCCCTCTGCAAAGTCTGTATTTCTGCCTTTATAAATTATAAATAACTTGGCGGAGATACTTTAATGTTCAAGCCATGTTTTTTGAAATCCTGTTTTCTGAGTAGAATTTAATATATCCTTTGGCATCCAGAGAACTCTGTTACTTTTAAAAAGCTCATATCAGAGTTAAAAAATTGTATTTTGGAGTCTAAGATTCATATTAAAGAAATTAGCATTCCAAGTATGGAATTGAAGGGAATGGGACTGTGGAAGTCAAAGTCTTCTCTGCCTATAAATAATGAAAATATTTGTACCTATAAATACTATGCTTTATAAAATATTTTTGATTAATTAACTTAAATTCATAAGCAATCTGACGAGGTTGGCCTTTAGTATTATTATCCTCATCATTATTATTTTCCCATTTTCAGATGTATAAAGTAAGGCTCAGTGAGATTATATGGTTTTATCCAAGGTCTAACCATCAGTAACTGATAGGACAAGGAAACATACCTGGCCTTGTGTATCTAAGGCTAAGCATTTTCCCACTATACAGTGATGAAGTAGACATGGTTAGATAGCAGTGAGTTCCATATCATTAGATATGTCCATGGAGAGGGATGTGGCTTCTTGGTAAGGATGTGGCAAGGCATAACAATAGATGTATGGTGACTTGATAAGCTTAAGATCAATTCTGACCTTGAGAATATATGATTATTAAACATAGTGATTAAATGTCCATGGTATTAACTTATTCTTTCTTTTCTACTCTCCTCTTTGGAAGTTGAAGAAAGATTACTTCTTTCTGTTTTTCTTATTCAATCAACTAAAACACTGGTGGAATTTGCTGAAAGGAAGGATATCCTTCCTTTTAGATGTGTGATTGTAGCTTGTATCTTTCAGAAGCAGCAATGTTTAGATCCTTTTTAAGATATCAAAGAGGATGTTGGAACTGCAAATAGTAATAAGAAGTATCTTCTATCTGTCATTGCTGTTACCATGGAGACCAAGCAAAACCCTACTCCTCTGTTAGTTACATTCTTTAGCCTCAGTGAAGTGAGTCCATTTTTTAAAATTAATGTTTTGGTATCACTCAATTACTTTAACTCTTACTTTAAAGAAAAATAGAGAGACAGGGGCACCTGAGTGGCTCAGATGGTTAAGTGTCTAACTCTTTTATTTTTTTTCTTTTAAGAATTATTTATTTATTTAATTGAAAGAGAGAGAGAGAGAGCATGAGAGAGGAGAAGGTTAGAGGGAGAAGTGAACTCTCCATGAAGCTGGGAGCCTGATGTGGGACTCGATCTCAGGACTCCAGGATCATTACCTGAGCTGAAGGCAGTCACTTAACCAACTGAGCCATCCAGGTGCCCTAAGTGCCCAACTCTTAATTTTGGTTCAGGTCACAATCTCTGGGTTGTGGAATTGAGCCCCTCCTCAGCCTCCATGCTCAACAGGGAGTCTACTTGAGATTCTCTCTCTCCCCCTCTGTTCCTCCTCCGCTTGCACATACACTTGGTCTCTCAAATAAATAAATCTTAAAAAAAAAAAAAGAAAAGAAAAGTAGAGAGACAAATATATCTGTTTATTTGGAAGACCTAGAGATATTGAGGTAGTCCAGAAAACTATGTTGCTTTATCATCATAATCTTTTTTTTTAACTTCTGATATGATATTATCTAAAATCCATAGATCTCAATGCTTTTCAAAAGAATGAACTAAGGCTCAAAAGGGGAAATGAATTTACAATGTTACACAGAAAATTATAGAAGTTTTATTTGCATGGCTTTTTTTTTTTTCTTATGGGTTAGGTTAACTAGCAATAGTAGATACATTCTAAATTTTAAATGTTTTTTTCTTACTGATAAAGAAACTAAGACTAGAATGAAGAAGTGGTTTGCTCAAGGGTAATATAAAATTAAGAACCCAGGATAAGACCTATATGGAAAATTGTATTATAGAGAAGGACTACAGGCTTCTCTATCTTCATTGAATCATCAATCTTGTGTTAGTCCCTTAAAGCAAAGATTTATCTCCTCATGGGCAAATGGGAAGAACAATGATCACTTTACATAGTACGCTTAATAATTTGAATTGATATAGGAATATACTCTAATAAGAGTCTTAATTTAGATTAATGGCCAGTTGCCTAGGAGACAGATTTGTATCTCACTGTGAATAAGATTTTATTCCCCATGTTCTTTTTCACTGTGATGCAGAAAGTGTAGTTACTGTGGGTAAGTCATTTACCTTCCATGAACCTTGGTTTTCTAACATGGAAGTCATGATAGATTCTTTGACTTACCTAACACATTTATATAAGAAAGAGATCATGGAAATAAAAAGAGCTTATTGGATAAGATTAAAAAAAAAAGATATGAGCTTTCCTACTTCATTTCCTTGCTTGTTTCTCTGTTTAGTATATGTGCTGCCGAAGCGAGCACTGTTTCTCTGTTTAGAATGCTCCCTGAATTACCTCCTCTTAATCCAATTCATCTTGGCTTGAACACAAAAAGGAATTTTTCTTTTACTCACTTAACTTAAAAGTTCAGGGTCGACTGATCTAATAACTTGAATGACTTTGACAAGAATTCATCTTTCTCTACATCTTAGTTCTTTCACTTTTATGGGCTTATTTCTCAGTCAGGTTCTTACTATGTGTGGTAAAATGACCATAAATACCTCCAGGCTTGCATTCTATCAGTTTTATAACAATACTGTTCATGTGCTCATTCTGAACCAATCTCTGTGACCAGAAAAATGGAGTCCTCTGATTGGCTAGGCCTGAACCATATGCTCAAGTCAGAGCCACTTAAACTCTGTGGGCTAAATGGGATAGGGTGGTTCTCCAAAGAACAAAGGAGGCACTCCTGTTGGAAGAAGTATCTCCCATGATAGAAAGGATGCTGGGTTGGAAAAAAACAACAGCTGTTGACAAGGCTCTTCCTAACCCCATTTTACCTAATGAAACCCTGTGAACCCTTTAAGGATTGTCTCAAAAGTTGCCTTTTGAAGTCATTTCTTATCCTCTCATTACATATGATTTCTCCTTCTTTTGTATTACCTTAGCATCTTGTGCTTCTTTTGCTTTTTATTTTCACAGACTTTGTGTAATCGTTACAAGTTCATTTCTTAGGGGCACCTGGGTATCTCTGTCTGTTGAGCACCTGACTCTTGGTTTTGGCTCAGGTCATGCTCTTGGGGTCATGGGATCGAGCCCCACCTGGGGTTGTATGCTTAGCACCGAAGTCTGATTATCCCTCTCCCTCTACTCCTACTCTGCTCTCTGTGTCTCTCTCAAATAAATAAATAAAATCTTAAAAAAAAAAAAAGAACTTCATTTCTTAGATTATTATAGTATCACTTCTTTGGAGACAGAGACTCTATCTTACTTGTCATTAAATCTTCAGCAGCACCCAACAGGTATCTGATTCATAATAGACTATCAGCAAATATTTATTAAACTGACTTCTTAATGTTGTACAAATTATGAAGGATGAAAAATAAACAGGATGAGGCAGATGATTTCATTATGTACATAATCTATTGACTGATGAATTTATAAAAGACTAACAGAAGCAATGTTGATAATCTGGGAAACAATTTCTATATAAATAAGGATCGTTGCAGCCTCAGGAGAGTTGTCCACTTTGGTGAGGACTGGCTAGGGAGGAAGTGTCCCTGAACCTACTTTACATTTACTAACTGTGCCTTCTTTTCCTCTTCAGTTGTCTGGGTTCACGTCTAAGCTTGTTCCAGCTATCCAGAATGCCCACAAGAATTCCACTGGATCTGAAAGAGGAAACGGACTGATGGTGCTAACTGAACCCATTTTGATTGAAACCTACATGGGGCTGATGTCATTCATTGGAAACCGCAACAAACTTGGCTATTCCCTTGCCCGTGGGAGTATTGGTTTTTGAGATGTTTTTTGGTGTTTAAGTATGTCATCCACTGATACATATTTATCAAAGATTCTGTTTCAGGCCACCATAGTTTTGGATTGAAACAATTCATTACTTCCTAATACTATAACATGATTTTGAATACTTAGTGTCTCAGGAAATCTAAAAGCTTGACTAGACTGATATGTGTACACTTCAGACCTCGTGTAAGTATGACCAAATTTCCTAAAACCAGAAAATACATTCTCTTAAGCTCATCAAATAATGTTATCAATGAATGCCTGATCATAAACTGAGGGTAGACTCTGGGTTCTTATTCTTCCGTCCTCTAAATGTAGGCATTTTCTGGATCTTAATCTTGAGTCCTTTGATTCTGATCTCCTCTTTCATTGGGGTCTGACTATATCATTTTAGCTACTCTTTTTGTGAGGATGAATTACAAGTCCATATTTATATCCCTGATATTGCTTCAAGATTCAGTTTTGTATTTTTTTCTGCTGATCATATATATCAGTGTTCCAACAGCCACTCACATTCAACATCTTCAAAATCCTAGAGTTCTCTGTGGCATTTTTATGGTTCCAGTCATCATCCCTGAAAGCCATCAGTTTTGATATATCTAAATTCCTTGCTAAATAATTTCATATAGTATCTTTCTTTGTCTGCTTGGACAGTTATTACAAAATTCCACAGACTGGGTGGCTTATAAACAACAGAAATGTATTTTTGGGGGGGCTGGAATTCAGAACAGGCTGCCATCATAGGCAGGTGAGGGCCCTCTTCCCAGGTGACAGACTTCTTGTCATATCCTCACACAGTAAGGGACAAGAGGGTTCTCTTGTGCTTCTTTTATTAATCTTATTCATGAGGGCTCTGCTTTCATGATGGAATCACCTCCCAGAGGCCACTTCTTAATACCATCACATTGGGTTTTAGGATTTCAGCATATGAATTTTGGGGTGACACAAACAGTCAGACCATAACAATACCAAATTTATGTATGGCTTAGCATTGTACCCCAATGCCCAGATATCAAACTTAAAGTTCATTCTTCTTTCAACCTTGTTCATGAACTCTTTTGCCTTTCCATTTTCACAGGTGTGTATTATTAGATCAAGTCTCTAATTCTGTTCCCCTGGATAATTTTGCCATTGCCTTTTACTTGGGATCTTTGATCTGAGGCTGACTCTGTTCTAATCCAGCCTGCATTAGGTTGTCAGATTTCTAAAGCACAATTTGACCCTATCACTCCCTGCGTAAGAACTTTTAATGGTTCATTTCTTCTGCAGTTTTTTGTTCAAACATTTATTTCATTTTATTTTACAATAGCAGACACTTTCTTCTATTGGAATATGTTTTAGACTCTTAATGTGTAGAACAGATAGAAGTAAGGCCACTGAGATTGAAGTGGACATGAGAATGCCTCGGATTCCTCTTTTTATGGGTCTCAGAGGTGCCCCCTGTGGAATGTTGATGGGTCCCAGAAGGTTTTGAAGAGTATGTTTTCAAAAATACTGTCCTATCTTATTCTGTTTCCTTTGCTCTTTTCTCTCATATTTTCTCTCTTCCTTTCCCTGATGAACAACTCGGGAGATTATCTCATCTCTTCTCATCTCTTTGAGTTTTTCTTTTTTCAATTTTACAATTTAATTTTTTTAGTATATTTTGAAAAGTTTCTTTGAATGATGAACACCATAAATATTATTACAATCAGCTTTTCAAGTCTGTCTCAAGAGTTAAAGTTAAGACACATTGGTTTGTATTCAAGTTAAAAATTCCAGCTATTTTTTGGGGGGGTGGCTTGTGAAGAGTTTATTTTTAAAGTTTTTTCTTCTAAAATTTTATTTCTTCAATTTCAAAGATTTGTCCTCTGATTCATTAACAAACATCAATTTGATGCAGACATTCAAAACCCACACCTTAAATAACCTTCATTTTATTTAGTCTTTGTCATTGTTTACTTCCATTAACATTTCTCTTTTTCTCTCTCTTTCCCCTTCGCAGCACCCACTTCCCCTCAATAGCACCCCGCCCACCATGATGGCAAATATTGTTATAGTCCCCAAGGCAGGAAACTTCTATTCAGACTGTAAAAGGAAATGTTGAAATCCTTAGCTGTCCTGTCAACAGTAGTGGAATGAAAAGTCGTTGGATTGTTTTGGCAGTGGTTCTGAAGCAGGCATAATTGGCAAATTATTATAACACTGTTGCCCGAAAATCCCTGTTTGCCTCAAGATAGTGGCATTTGTTGGCAGAAGCATCTGAAATGTCCAGCACATTCTTTTGAGTTACCATTTAAGGATCAGACTGACAATAGACTTCTTTCTGCACATTTGTCCCCCTTGTAACCTAGGACAGACTGTTCCCAAGTGACTTTCTAAAGAGCACAGTGCAGGCCCATCAATGCAAAAGATGAGAGGAGGGAGATGTCTCTTAGCCCTGAGGTCTAGCCTCTAACAAATAGGATAAGCATTTAATAACACTGAAACTGTTTGCTATGGAAAAGAATGAACTCAGGGATGATGACATGAGAATGCTTTGCACATTTCACAAAGACTGTCTAGTGTGATATCCCATAAACTGATATGTGGGACCTAAAATGCAGGCTATGACCAGAGAATGAAAGGATTCAGGAATCTAGAAAGAGTGTTAAGGTAAAAAAGAACTTCTTACAGGTTGGGATGTCGAAGATGGAATCGTTGCCCCTTGGAAGAGGGAGCCTGCCATCACTTGATGTAGGGCCTAGATGAAGTGGATATTATGAACAGGATTGACAAATGGGTGATTGATATTACACTTTAAAGCTAGAGACCTCATATGATCCTCCAACTAATTGTTATGAATGATTAGACAATTAAATCATTTTTTCTTTGAAAAGAATTGAATCAGTCAAATGAGACCCTAGAAAATTACCTCAACTTTCCTAAGATTTAATTTCCTCATCTGTAAAATGGAGACAGTGATAACTTTTCTGCCCACTTCATAAAGATCTTGTAAGAACTGAATGAAATGAGGTTAAATTATTGTATTAAAACAAACAAACAAACAAAACCCCAAAAAACCATTGAGTACCTGCCTGTAGAGTGATAAGACTTAGAAGCAGAAAGTAGGACAACATCCTAGGGAACTCTATTTAGTTCCCCCTGGGAATTTTTCCTTGGTCACTATGGTCCTACTGACCATCATTTTCCCATTTGATTCTTGGTGTTCTAACTTGGGTTCCATGTCCATAAGCTCAACAGGAAATACAAACCACAAATCAGGGGACCTACTATAAGCCTGGACTGTTCATTCAGACTGTCATCTGAACTGTACTAATAAAGTTTCTGAAAGGGACATCATTAATTTGGGAATATGGTTTTTATAAGAGCCATTAAGTATTAGGCACATCATCATAAAAATGTCATGGTTGGCCATCTTCTTTATCTGATCTTTATCCCATTCAGGAAGTCCTTGATAAATCTCCTTTCAAAAACTTCTTGAACATCTTTATTGACAGATAGTTCAAGGTTTCTTGATAGATCTTGGGTCGTTCTGATGGTTACAATATTCTTCTTCTTTTGATTAAGACTCTGTAACATCCACCTGCTGAGACTTCAGGGATTAAAAAAAAAATTCATTTGCTGGAGTGAGTTTAGCTTCAGTTTTCACACTGGTATACTGGGATGTGGGATACTTGGGTACAGAGGCGAGGTTGGTGGATTCTCTGTTTACAAGAAGGGTAGCTGTCAAGAATGGTTGAGCCTGACCTTCAAGTGGGCAATAGGGCCTCCTAGGAGGCCTGACCTTTGGCCATTCTCTAAGGCAGAAAAGAGAAACCAGTTGATATACTTTGGATCTTTTGCCTCGAGGCCTGTTCTCCTTGTCCCCTTGCTCAAGCAATACTAAGAAAGCCACGCACAGAGCCCTGGGGCTAAGGAGGCATGGAAATCATCCAACCACTATGCGTTCCTTTCACAATGAAGCAAAGTGATAGAAACTGGAAAAAAAAAAAATTGCTCAAAAAGCAGATGGTACTGGGATTAAACTCTAAAGCTTCCAATTTCCTATTCCTGGCCCACTGCTCTTTGCATATATCTCTATTCCCAGGGAAAGGCATAGCATCTAAATCAGGGCCTCATAGTTGCTGGGCCAATTCTGAGGTAAAGAAAACAATAGGTCATCGTTGTTTGAGGGGAATTTCCAGAAATTACCTGTCTTTTCTTAAAGGCTAAGGTCACTCATAGAACTCTCTGATTTCCTATCTGATCGAAGAGCCCAAACAAAGCTGCGGAAGCCAGCCGAGCCAGCAGATATTTTGTAAGGCGGCTTTACCTCTGCCTGGCATTTGGTGGGGCCAGAGAGGGGAGGGCAAAAGTATTAAATTTAGGCTTAAAAGTTCCTCAGAAATTCTTTACACACAAGAGACCAAGTTGGAGAAAAGAAGATGACTCGTGCCAAGGGGAAGAAAGAGAGACTAATGCCTGTGGTTTTCAAAGGTTAACAGCGAAAAAAAAAAAAAAAAAAAAAAACCAAACCAAAAAAAAAAACCCAAGTATTTGCACAGGGATGAATGCTCATTGGCTCCTGGCCAACAATTATACAAGGGCTTATGCCCACATCCTGTAGCTGTGGTTTAGGGACGCTGCTCATGAGTGACTTCTTATGCTTAGTGGCAGGAAACTTTAGTCGCTGATGTGTAAACTCACCTTTGGTCTGCACCTCCCACAAAGTGCTCCTTAAGCAGTTAGGGGCCAGGCCTCCCGACTGCCTGGCAGATACCCATTCCTTGGAGGCTAGGGAAGGACTCCTTCTAAGGCCTTGGAAGTGACTGAGGTTTGATCCATGCTTTCCTTATTCCACTTGACTGCGGTAGCCACAAAGAGGAGTCACAGAATCTTCTGCTCATTTCTCGCTTCAGCCTTAAAACCTGGGACAAAAAATACGTGAGCTGGATTTCATTTCAGATCTGCAGCCAATGTGGAATAATGAGAGGCAAAGTCATGAGGTTGCACCTGAGTCTAGATCTTGTATCTGATGGGCTATTTGTACTCAGTCTTAAAAGGATCTTAGCAAACATCTCCCAAGTCTCCTCCCGGTGAAGCCATGTGGAATTTGCAAGGAATTGCTCAAAAAACAGATGGTGATTTTTTGGTAATACCAGGATTAGATCCTACAACTTCCACTTTCCTGTTTCTGGCCCACTGTTTCTTCCACATATCTTCCATTCCCAGGGAAAGGCATGACATCTAAATCACTGTATCACCA